CCGCTGTTTCGGTTGTTTTTAGGTTCCTCCAGTCGTCAGGACTGAAGACAGGAAACACTTTCATTGTTTTCTGGACACTTTTTTTTTATCTGGACTTTAGATTTATTTGTTTCTGCTCCTAAAGTTTTGTTTTGTTTTGAACAACGCGCGTGGCGGGTCCTGCGATTATTACCGACCGACCGGAAACAATGACTGGTTCCGGATAGAAGGGTCAGAGGATTTCTGAATCGATGTTGAATTGTTGAATGAATGAATTGTTGAATGAACGAACGAATGAACGAACGAACGAACGAATGAATGAATGAATGAATGAATGAATGAATGAATGAATGAATGAAGCAGCTGATGACATCAGAGCTACAGCGTGTCTGTGATGCGTTCAAGTTCAGATAAAACTCGGGTTTTTGAGTGTTAAAATCACACCAGTCACACTTTACTGCAGAGGTGCTCTGAGTGCTTCTGATTTTTAATTTATTCAGTATTTTTGGTGAATTTAAGGTTTGAGAAAAAAAAGTTCTTTACAAAATAATAGTTTCTTTATTTTCAGGGGCTCTTGAACTTGAACACCTGTAAAACTGACTAAATGAAAAGTTTTTATTTTCTTCTTTCAGCTGTTCCCTCTCCTCCAACTCTTTACACAAATACTCTTTATGTCTGTTTTATTAGTCTTTTTTATATATTTTTCAGATAGAATGATAATAAAGCAAATATACACAAATAAATTAATTGTCTGACTGAACTGAAAGTAAGTTTTGATCCAAACTAATAACTTTAAAATAATTGAAAATGTGAAAATTCTCAGTTTTTATATGATGTCAAACACAGATTGTTTGGTAACAAAGATCCTGTTCTTTATTCACAGAACTCTCCCCTAATTTCACTCATTAAACAATAATTATTATTTGTGTTTGAAGAAACCTTATTGAACAATGTTTACCGTGTGTTAAAACCACATCCTTACAATATTTTCATTTTGTTTTTACTGTGTTGTTTTATGATTCCAGACCATGTTTTGTGTGTTAAAGCTTTCTAAACCACAGAGACAAACTGCGCATGTGCGCCGGCTGCGTGAGTTATTCTGCGCATGCGCCACAAACAGTTAGCTGTTAGCTGTTAGCTGGAAACAAACATGAGCAGAATGCTCATTCTGAGACACTTTCAGCCATGCTGCGCGGTTTTTAAAGGCCCGGGCTGCTCAGCAACAAGACAGATTCATACTCAGATTATTACAGGAAACAAAGGCAAGAAAACGGTTACTTTTATTAACGTTAGCTATGCTAGCACACGTAGCATTGTGTAATTAACAACCTTAATGTTAAATGTGTTAATGTTGTGTAACATTTGGTTATAGTGACACAGAGCAGCTGTACATCTGTCTTTGAGCCGGGATGTTTACATAAACTAATGTTTTATTTTCTGCTGACGTCACGTTGTTTATATTCGCAGATATCGTGAGATTTGGACGGAGAACATGTTWTTTCTGCAACTATCGCGAGATTCAGTTTGTAGTTTTGGAAACAGGATTAACACTGATGAAATTAGCATCACAAGAAAAGCGTAGTTTATATTTTTATTTAATAAAACAAAAATACAGAATATAGTTAGAGTTACAGAGTCACAAACATGAACTGTAGGTTTGTGAATCACCAGTAAAGTCAAAGAAGGAAATGACGTAATGTTGAGGCGGAGCTAATCTAGGCGCGAAATCATTTCTTTGAACCGGGAACAGAGCAGCTCGTGGAGCCGTGCTTTTCGTCAGAAACCAGATAAATTAGAGTTTAGTTTCCTGCAGGTTCAAACTGAACGTGTTGCCACCATGCCCGCCTCAGATCTCACAGATGTTTCTGCATCTTCTCCATCCAAGAAGCTCAGAGCTGCAGAGCACACTCCAGAGCACACTCCAGAGCACACTCCAGAGCACACTCCAGAGCACACTCCAGTCCTCAGGTTTGCTAAGCTGTCTGAGCACGCCACCACCCCGACCCGTGGTTCTGCTAAAGCTGCAGGCTTCGACCTGTACAGGTGGGTCAAACTGCAGGTACGTCTGTTCTTGTTCTTCATGTGAAATCTAAACGTTTGAATTTCCTCTTCAGTGCGTACGATTACTCCATCGGAGGCCTGGACAAGGCCGTCGTGAAGACTGACATTCAGATCGCTGTTCCTCATGGGCACTACGGCAGAGTGGGTGAGTTTTACCTGYGACAGGTCAGGATCACCTGCAGCTCAGTGCTGTCTGTCTGAAGCAGGACTGTTACAGTCCACTAAAATAACTAAAACCTAAACTGAAATATATATAAACTGAAATAAAAACTAATAAAATGAAAAAACGATAGCTAAAACTGTATAAACTTTTTACAAAACTAACTGAAATTATAGATAGAATATCCTCAGTTTTACTGTTTAATTTATTTTGAGACGTGTGCAGCTTTTTTATAAAGTATTTTCCCATCAGCTGTGSTCTGTAACACCTGCACTGTRAAAAATGAAATGTTGGATTTACTYAACCATGTTATGTGACCCYGTTCCACTTACCTGAGTTGAGTAAATTCAAAGCAKTATACCAGTTTTTTAACCAAAGAACATGAGCATGTTGCTTTGAATTTACTCAACTCAGTTAAGTGGAACGGGGTCACATAACATGGTTAAGTAAATCCAACATTTCATTTTTAGAGTGTGTTTACAGTCTGCTGATCAGCACCTGCTGAATGACAAGTTGGGAAAAAAAAGTCCACTTTGGGATTTCTTTAAATATGATGCAAGAAAAATCAAATCCAGTGTGTTGTACACTCTAAAAATGAAATGTTGGATTTACTTAACCATGTTACGTTACCTGGTTCCACTTAACTGAGTTGAGTAAATTCAAAGCAACATGCTCATGTTCTTTGGTTGAAAATCTGGTATAATGCTTTGAATTTACTCAACTCAGTTAAGTGGAACCAGGTAACGTAACATGGTTAAGTAAATCCAACGTTTCATTTTTTACAGGGTATTGGAAACAGGTGATAAAACAGGTGGAATACTTCTGAAGGTAAAAACTGCATGAATCAAACTCACACAAGATGCTAACTGTGACTATCTGACACGTTAGCTTCTCTCAGCAGCTCCATGAAAACAAACAGGTTGGAGACAAACTGTTGTCATCGTCCTGAAATAATCACTAAAGTTTTTACTTGGTAAAATTAAGTTACGCTTTTATTTTAGGAAGGTGTTGCTATAATGAACTGATTTAACCAGTGACCWGATATCTGCTGGTTAGTGAACTCACAGGAACATCACAAGCTGGACGATGGATTGATAAATATGTTTATTCAAACTATAAAATAACTAATAAAAACTAAATTAAAAATGTAATAATAACTAATAAAAACAAACAAATCTACTGTAAAAACTAATAAAAAGTGACTGAATTAAAAGAAAAAAGTCAGAACAAATGAAACTAAAGCACTGTAACGTCGGTGTGACTTCCTGTTCCAGCACCGCGGTCGGGCCTGGCAGCCAAACACTTCATCGATGTAGGAGGTGAGTGACGGCACCGCGCTGTCGGTTCTGCTTCACGTCTGTRTTTTAACTCCTCCTCTCTGCCTCCAGCGGGCGTCGTCGATGAAGACTACCGAGGAAACGTGGGCGTGGTGCTCTTTAACTTCAGCAAGGAGACGTTTGAAGGTGTGTRAAGGTTTTTATAAGAGGCCCGGCTGCACCTGAGGCCTTCACCCTGTGGAGCAGGTTCTGACCACCTCCTTTCTCCTCACAGTGAAGAAAGGTGACCGGGTCGCTCAGCTGGTCTGTGAGAAGATCTGTTACCCAGAACTGGTCCAGGAGGAGGTAAAGTCCRACCATCAGGTGTTCAGTCTGGCTCAGATCCAACAAAATATCAGCTGAACTCCAGAACAAACCTGAGATAAGCTTGATTTATCCAGAGAACCAGAACCTGCAGCTTCTGTCAGGAGATTTGATTGATTTTCTGTTTKTCACCTTAAAAAATAYAAATAAATGTTACTGAGCAAACAGCAGAAACATCAAATRAATATTTCCACTATTTGATGACCTCAGATTAACAATAACTTTATTTTTTTTAGACTCTTGATGAAACTAAACGTGGCTCTGGAGGCTTCGGATCAACTGGACGCAACTGAAAGCTCTGAATAAATGTAAACATCTGGTTTCTGTAATAAAACTGATTATTTTTTGTAAAACTCAGTCTTGTTTCATGAATGTCCACATGGTGGCAGCAGAGGACAGGTAGATCCTGGACCTTCAGGCCGGAGCAACATCTGGAGGAAAGTTTTATTTTAGTTCAGCCGAGCCCAAACATCACATCCTGTCCGAGCAGGAAGCAGACGAGCAGCCAGTGTTCAACAAAATATGTTTTATTGTGACGTTACATCCTCACACAGGTGAGCAGGCTGCAGTCAGGCTGCTGCACAGGTGARGAGATGGTCACAAAGACCTCAGTGCAGAATCATGAAGGCCCAGGTTTGGCATCATTACAGGTGTGTGTGTGTGTTTACACAGGAAGTAGCT